GATCGAGTCCCACATCGGGCTCCCTGCTCAGCAGGGAGTCTGCTTCTCCCTCTGACCCTCTTCCCTCTCGTGCTCTCTATCTCTCATTCTCTCTCTCTCAAATAAATAAATAAAATCTTTAAAAAATAAAAAACTGTACTCTCCAATGTGCCTTTCCTAGATCCAACAGGCCTGACTAAGAGTATTGGTGGTGCAATGCAAACTCCTTAAAACTAACACAGAAGAACCTCAAAGAACGTTTTCTTGAAGCCCCAAAGCCAGCATTGCTTGAGATGGCTGTGGTAGAATGAGTTCTGTGTGAAACTGCATTATTCAGCCTCTCTTGCGACGAAATTCTAATCTTAGGATGTAAGAGGACGTGATGTATGCTATTCCAGACTGAGCCAAAAACACCTCCCCAGTGGGCTCCTCTAGGTTGGTTCCTTCTTGTAGCTGGCTGGCTAGGAAATGACCTCAGGAATGTCCTTGGAAGCCAGGAGTTAAAGGTGGATGAATGACTTGTGGAACTGAGGTCTACATTTTCCTGCTAAGCAGGAAGATCCATAATGGACTGTTCACCTTGAACAAGATAGAAACTTGTATTGTGTTATACTGCTAACATTTAGAGGTTTATTTGTTGCAATCGCTAGCATTACAGCATTAGTTAATACAACAAGAATTGCAGTGTTTTGGTGAATGGTGATATGGATGAATTGACAAGTGGGTAAAGAACATAATCCAAGTTCACAAATAAGGAAACAGGATCAGAGTCAGGTGTCTTGCCCAAAACACCCAGGAAGTAACTTGTGTAATTGGCCTAGAACTCAGCCATTCTGAGCGCAAATTCATGTTCTTCTGGTGTCCTATCCTACAAAAGGCCAAGTGGATAAATTCCAACGCGGTTCCAAGTCTTGAAAACTGATATTGACCAACACATATCAGAAAAGACACTATCCATATGTACCAAACAGCACAGATTTTTGTGTTGTTACTAATTGGCCTCTAAATGCACGGCTTTCCACTTTATATTAAGCTTTATTTTAAATCAGGTTTGCTAGAATTATCATGTGATTGATAACCAGTGATATTTTAGTGCAAATTAACTTCCTATAGGTTAATCTGGAATATTGCTAACATTTTCTTCTTTTGAACATATACTTCATCTTTCTAATGAAGCCATAATGGTATTTTTTTAAATTTTTTATTGTTATGTTAATCACCATACATTACATCATTAGTTTTTGATGTAGTGTTCCATGATTCATTGTTTGTGCATAACACCCTGTGCTCCACGCAGAACGTGCCCTCTTTAATATCCATCACCAAGGCCATAATAGTATTTGACACTAGCTTTTTACAGTATCAAAATTAAGGAACCATGCTTTTCTTCTTTCCCCTATTTTTTTCCAATAAAAATATGTTTTCATTATAGAAAAGCAATTTAAAAATCACCTGAAGTGAAAGGTTACAGGCAAGCATGGAGAAAAGGCTTCAATGATCCATGTGGCAATAGATTAGAATCAGAGGACATAAGTATAAACTCATGTTTAGCTTAATATAGATATGGAGAGCCATATAATGAACTATTTATAGATACACACATGCACAGATTAGTACATAGACAGTCCCCAATTTACAACAGCTCAACATATGATTTTTCAACTTCATGATGCTGTGCAAGCATTCAGTAGAAACCAGACTTTGAATTTTGCTATCCACAGGCAGTAAGACAATCTCTGGTGATGCTGGGCAATGGCAGTGAGCCCAAATCCCCATCAGCCATGCAATTAGGAGGGTGAACAACCAATGCACTTACAACCATTCTGTTGTTCACTTTCAGTACCATATTCAATCAATATACATGTGATATCCAACACCGTATTATAAAATGGGCTTTATGTTGGGACACCTGGGTAGCTCAGTCGGTTGAGAGCCCGACTCTTGACTTCAGCTCAGGTCATGATCTCAGGGTGTGAGATTGAGCCCTGTGGTCAGGCTTCATATGGAGCCTGCTTAAGATTCTCTCTCACCCCCTCACTCCTCATCCCCACCCTCATACACATGTGCACTCACTTTGTCTAAAAAAAAAAAATAGGCTTTACGTTAAATGATTTTGTCCAACTGTAGGCCAACACAAGTGTTCTCAACATGTTAAGGTAGGCTAGACTAAGCTATAATTTTGGTAGGTCAGGGGTATTAAATGCATTTTGAACTTAAAATATTTTCAACTTACTGTGGGTTATTAGGACATAACCCTAGCATAAGTCAAGGAAGATCTGTACAGCCACGTATTTCCTTGATGTCAGTTGAGAAGGCTTAGAAGTGATAGCACCACCATGGCAAGCGGCACACTTAGCACGATTTTTGTTCCTAATACCACTGTCTAATACAACAAACCAGAGCTTCTTAAAGAAATGGCTGATACTGGGGCAGGAAAGATACAAGGCAAGACTGGACTATCTTACAGTGCAAGAAAGTACGGGATACTTTTTTTGTAAAGGACCCAATAATAATAATGGGTTATGTTCAAAGGGAGACAGAAGCCAATGGACAGAGTTGGAACAATTTGAGCAATAAAGTAAATGAAGTGGTTTTGATTTATAACCCAAACACAATAGAAATATTTATAAATACCCATGAGTCCATACTGATATAAAAACATAGAGGGGCACCTGGGTGGGCCAGTCAATTAAGCATCTGCCTTCACCTCAGGTCATGATCTCGGGGTCCTGGGATTGAGCCCCATGTTGTTGGACTCCCTGCCCAGTGGGGAGTTTGCTTCTCCCTCTCCCTCCGCCCCTCCCCCCACTCATGTTCGCTTGCACTCTCTCTCTCTCTCAAATAAATAAAATATTTTTTTAAAAAACATCGAATAAATAGAGTGGAATGGAATAGAAGAATAGAATAGAATAGAATAGAATAGAATAGAATAGAATAGAAAAGAATAGAATAGAATAGAATAGAATAGAATAGAATAGAATAGAATAGAATAGAAATCCCATATAGAAGCATGGGTTGGGTGGAGAGCCATCAGGAATATTATAAAAGCTATTCTTGCCCGCAGTGGGGGTGCAAACTGAACGGTCACCAAGGTCACTTTCAGTTTAAAAGGTTGGAATTTTTCTTTCATCTTGTATGTAACACTACCTTTAAACTATTACTCTTAAGCATTGCCCCTGTTTTTTAGCTTTCGGCAGTCTCATTGGTTTCCTAACTGAAAAATTGATTCCACTAGCAAAAATAAAAAGCATCTATTAAGAGGATGAGTCCTTCAGCTTGTTTGTACGCATAGATGGGCACATCTCTAAGTATGTGATGAAGAACAGGTCCTTTCACTATGATTAAGAAAGTGTGAATGAATCATCTCTTGAAACTCAATCTTCTCTACGAAGTCAATGCAAAAAGAACAGAAGCTTTGGAAGGCAGGTCTCCAGTTCACAACCAAATTTAGAAATTGTCTTCAAGACCTCTTCATATTCTTTCCAGAACATCGGGCCTTGTGAAAGGTCCCATCAGTAAAAAATAAAACACACACACACACACACACACACTTATCAATACTGAAGCTTTTGAAGTTGATGGGATCTGCAGGTGAGAGTTTCTCATCTTCACAGTGGTAGGTACTGAGGGATGAATTGCACCTGGTGGGAGTTTTCTTCCCTCTGTGGTGAAGTAAACTCAGTTTTACACATCAAATGACTCCAGTGTGCTTCCCCCTGGTCAAATAGTCCTCTTTATTCAGGCAAAAACTGTGTGATGGGAGTCCCAAAATGTTTGTTTCTGGAATTCCACTCCCAAGAGAAAATTAGATAGCCTCTCGGTCCACTTCCTATCAGAGTAAACCTGATGGAAGGGAGAATGGGGGAAGGGAACTGAAACCAGCTTTAAGAACTTTTCGTCCTAAACTTCACAAGCACAGAAAGTGAATGTAACATTTTATGGGAAACCACACATTGCCTGTGGATCTTCACTACCAACACGCAAGACACACACACACATACACACACGCACACCCCAAGCCGTAGGGGACTGCTACTGGCAAATGCCTCCCCTCCAATCACCACAGCTAGGAAAGATTTCCTAGAACCCCAACGCGCCACCAACAGATGGGGTCTCTGGCAGCCCTGGGCTGCAGCCCACTAGTCTGTGGAATGACAGCGTGGAAAGTGTTGCAAGGAAATCCCTTGCATGCTTTATGGTATATTAAAAATGCAGCATCATCCTCTTTGCTCCCTTTTCTTCAGCAGAAAAGCAGAATTCGAGGGCACGGGGAAACTGGAGGGGCAAAAACGCGGCTTGCCTCCACGAGCCCTCGAGCTCCCTCCCTCCACGCCCTCCTCCCCCCCAAGCCCCGCGCCTCAGGCTCTAATTGCCAGTGCTCCAATGGGCCAGCAGCACCTTCACCCGTTTCCTCTTCCATTCACTACAGCGAGGAGGGAAGAGGGAAAACAAAACTCTAAAAATAACTGCCCGCATCTTAAAAAAAGAAAAGCTTAGCTCCCCCCCACCACCGCTCCCTCCCTTCTAGTTTCTCTCCTCCCCGCCCCCCCCCCGCCCCTTATGGGGCACATGCCTGCTTCTTACAACACCAAGGCACATGGTTCCAGTTAGGCACCGAACCCCATCAGGACGGAGAGGAAATCCACATCTGTGGGACGCTCCACACGGAACCACCTCCAGCGAGGGAGGCCGGGGGACTGCAGCACCGAGATGAAGGGCTAGACCGAGGGAACGCTGCTCATGCGGTGAGAGGGGCGCGGAAGGCGGCAAGAGCGCGGGGAGGCCGGGGAGAGGTGGGCCCCGCGGTGCACCCGCAGCGCCCGCCGCGGGCCCCCACGCGCGCTGTCGATATTTGCCCGCCTTGCTGCAACTTGCTGCAGTGTTTGAAAGAGTAGTAGGAGCGCATGGAGGTGGGGCCGGGGAAAGACCAGGCGGAGTGGTTGGGGGTGAACGCGGAGGGGGTGGGGAGGCGGCGGTGTGGGGAAGGGGGCTGGCCCGGAGGGGGTGGGATGGGGGAGTGGGGGGTAGCCCGGCGCTTACACATGTCACATGTGCTTTTTAAGACGGCCGGGAGCGCCTGCGAGCTGGATCTGGTGGAGGATGCTGCGGCAGGTGCTTCGCAGAGGGCTCCAGTCGTTCTGCCACAGGCTGGGCTTGTGCGTGAGCCGGCACCCGGTCTTTTTCCTCACCGTGCCCGCAGTCCTGACCATCACCTTCGGCCTCAGCGCGCTCAACCGCTTCCAGCCCGAGGGCGACCTGGAGCGCCTGGTCGCTCCCAGCCACAGTCTGGCCAAGATCGAGCGCAGCCTGGCCAGCAGCCTTTTCCCCCTGGACCAGTCCAAAAGCCAGCTCTATTCGGACTTACACACCCCTGGGAGGTATGGCAGGGTGATCCTCCTCTCCCCACCCGGGGACAATATTTTGCTCCAGGCTGAGGGGATCCTGCAGACCCACCGAGCCGTGCTGGAAATGAAGGTGAACCACAAGGGCTATAATTATACTTTTTCCCATCTGTGTGTGTTGAAAAATCAGGATAAGAAATGCGTGCTGGATGATATTATTTCAGTGCTAGAGGATCTCAGGCAGGCTGCCGTCTCCAATAAGACAACAGCCAGGGTGCAAGTGAGGTATCCCAACACTAAATTAAAGGTATGCTCCTCCTGCATGCTTCTGCCAATTAAAGAGGCAGCACTTCATTTCTTGCCCTAAACAAGCAAAGAAAATGCAGAGGTCTCATCCTTAAGACTCAGAAGCTAATGCTTCTCTCATTTCTTGGGTGGGGGGGGGAAGATGGGCAACTGAGTGAAGAAAACAGGCAATGAATGGTATGACTAGATATTAAGAAATTCAAAGCCAAACAAAACAAATACCAAAAATGAAAAAAAAATGGAAAAAAGTTGTTTCTGAGACCCTGCAATTACATCTTTGTTCAGGGTTAATAAATCAGTGAATGGAAGGGGGAGGGGGCATCCTGAACAATTTGGGGGATTTCTTTTCATTATGGGGCTCGATGTATTTCTTATTACTGATTACACATCCACCTGGTGCCATATCCACCTATTTACATCTTCGGCCTGGCTTGGTTTTGACATGCAGAGATTTTGTGTTTTGGTGCCTTGTGAGTGTGTGTCTGAAAGCAGTGGATTTGAATGTAGTAGGGATTCCAGGAATCATGTGTAAGTGTGTTAGCATAGCAAAAGAAGCAAAAATTTTCTGTGTAAAAATGGGGGTATGCAGCTAACTGCTGTACTAGTTTACTGAGTCCTGTTATCTTCCTTTTCCATGACAAAATCCAAACCAAACCAAGATTATTATAACAGCCCACTAGCAGAAAGAAGAAAAGAAAGAAAAAGAAAGAAAGAAAGAATTCTAGTCAACAAAAATTGCAAAAAGATTATTTCAGCATTAAATATATTGTGCTGTTTAAACTCTCAATTCAAATTTTGTTCCTCAAATGAGATTTCTAAGCTCATTCTACACTGTCAGGATTGAGCTGCTGCAGGCAATGAGGCATGCAGTCTCCAGGTGACTGAAGTTTCAGGGACAAATGTGACTTCCAAAAGAGTCACTGCACCATTTGTATGCTCAACCCTGTGCGTGCTCAGAACCAAGAACTCCCAAGACAGGTGTCTCCCAAGAAGGAGGAATTTTCTTTCTTCTCATGTATATAAGGCTATATATGTGCTTCCATAGAGACAATGGGATAGGAAGGACCTCAGTGTGGATAAATGGATGGCCTAATATAGTAAATCATTAATACTTCTGTTTATGGATTTAATATAGTCAGCATCTACACATGATTTAAAAAGAACTTTCTCAGGGTTTTTTGTTGTTGTTGTTGTTAAGGCTCTTTTTTGTGCATTGAGGGAGGACTTAATGCACTTAGAAACTAGGAATTCCTCAGGAAACCTCATAACCTGCCTCCTTTTAACATGTTGTCCTTGTTTAAATGCATCCAGAGGCTGACAGGGTTTCAGCTTTACAAAGCTGAGCAGTTCCCTGGGGTTTACTGAAACTAGACAGATGATTCATCAGCTTGAAATCTAGGTAAGGGCTTGCCTGCTTCATACTTATTGAAGGAAGCATGATGAATATATGTGGCTGGGCAGCATGCTTTTTGTTACCTGACTCCTTTACCATCAACATTATCACTTGCTACAGAAAAGGATGCAGTGGAGAGGTGATCTTCCCAGTCTACAGTCTTTTATCTGAGTTCTTAGCTATGCCAAACATCTGGTGTAAAGAAAGGTTTGAAACTGTTTCATATTTAAGCTTCCATTTGTTTTCCCTATTGAGACAAGTTTGCAGATTATTCATATGCATTATTAGTTGAGTCCCTTATTTCCTTTATCCAGCAGTACTCTCCAGGTGTAAGAGCTTTGTCCAATAAGCCACTGCCCCAATATTTTGTTTACCTGGCAATATCATGATGACATTTACAGTATAAACCCCTGAGGTCTTGGATTCACTCATTTAATAATTGGTTGTGCTCCTGTGATTTACTAGGGGCTCTTCTAGGCTCACAAGACAGAATTTGGGGTAAGAAAAAAAGGTTCTTATTCTCGTGGGGCTTAAAAGTAATATATGTCAGCATCTTCACCCAGAGTTATCTGCGAGCAGGGACTCTGCAATTTCTGGGTTCCTTATTGAGCCAAATGGTGCTCCATCTAAACTTTTTGGCTGGTTGGTAGATCTACATCTTGGTAGGAGTCAGTGGGTAATCAAAGAAGAATGGAATAATTGATTACAAAGGTCAGTGTAGTAATAGTAAAATTATTCTATTAACCATAAAAAGAACAGGAGAATTACACATTGGCTCTATCAACTGTAGACCCTATTCTGCTACATTCTAATGTCAATGCCTCCTCCAGTGTGCTGGCTTGACTCTCTCTGCATGGCATCAGTGGGAGTTGTGGAAGCTGTTTGGGAAAATGAATCCTTTGAGACTCTTTTGAGAGGAGTAGGCCCTCTCAAGCATCCAGAGGTAATCTCACCCATGCTAATGTAATATAATATATAATTTGTGCAGTACCACGGATACCTAGAATTTTATCAAAGTGTCTCCAAGGACTTCTAGGTTAAGAACTTGTCACGGAGCAAAATGAGATGGCCTTTTGTTTGGATTACATGTTATTTGGAAATGATTTTGATTCACCTGTGGCAGTGATTCTCAGAGGGTGTCCCTGTGATGCTAATGCGAGGTAGAGTTTGAGAACTTCTGGTGTATGCAATTTGAGGGGAAATTTTATACTTACATTTTATGGCTAATTCATTTTGCTTTCCTCTCTCATACTTGGATCACCACCCTTCCCAACTCAATATGGAAAATTTTCATGATGGGAGATGCTACTGATGGGCCAGGGAAGCAGGAGTTGTAGAAAAATGCAAAATAAATAGCACTGGCTGGGTAATGTGAGTAGGAATTGTCAATGTCTTGACATGAAAGAAGCAGTAGGTCAGTTCTTGGAGATCCTCTGTAGATATGTAAACACTGATTGACAGAAAGAAGTAGCCAGAAACAGTTCTGACAATTGGAAGGGAATCTTCCAAATATTATTAAGACAGCCAAATATTCCTGAGCACAGAAGGGTTTAGAACTTCTGACAAACATGATTATCTTGACAAGGTGATCCAGAGAAGCAGGGACATAGAAAGTTGGCTGGCATGGAATTCCAAACAGAAGCTCAAATAAAGCTAGTATGAAAAAAACAGGAGTCAGCTTAGGATACTACAGAAGATATGAAACATACACACATTTTCAAAAACTGTGTAGAAAAGATGCCAAAATCTACAATTCCTACACCTATGTAATATGAACTCTGTAAGTGTACCTGTCATTAAAATATTTATATTATTATATCCATTATTATATCCCTGATTAGACACAAAGGTCATGTCTTATATTCCTTCTATGCACGCTATTTATGTTCCCCCACTCCAACCTAACCTGATTCTTTGTAGATAGTATTCATACCATTGATTAGCCTATTAATTTGTACATTTGCACTGTGATATCATAAAATTATCACCACTTTTCAAACCTCTGTGGCATGCTTTTATTTTTAAAGGTATTCTCTACATTCTCTAGATTTCTATAAAGTGTTTTTGGTTTAGAGGCCTTTTTTTCCACTTAGTAAACCTACATATTGTATAAGTTAATACAATGTGGCCAGACTGAATTTTTAAATTAAATACATAACATACTGCTGAAACCAGGCTCTTGAATAAAATGAATCAGGCACTCAAAAATCCTTAAGCAAGGACTGCTCTGGACTCCAAGAAATGTTTCCATGATTATTCAAGTGGCTCAGGTGTTTGCAGGTGGTATTACTCATTGTAGGCCATCATGACCTCACTTTTCCATCTGGCCAATTCTAAGAAAGTAACAATTTCCATGTCCCCACTTCTTTATTTTACCACGGTGAAAGGCACAGGTAAAGAAGAAGCAGACAAATGTGGTCCATAGCAAGTGGTGAGGAAGAAATGAAACAGATTTGATTCCCCTGCAGCCTGTCCTCCCTGTAAAATTTCATTAATATCACACCTATGAACAGATGTTTAACTGAAGTGTCTGTGCTTCAATATACCACACTTAAGAACAGAAGCAAAAAAAGACTTTCTTCTTAATAAGGGACAGTGTTTCTTTGGGTACATTTCAAGGTTTGGAAGATGTTGCCATTGATTATTTTGTTCCAGTCTCAGTGGAAGGGTAACTTAAGCCAACATGGAGAGTGAGGACCAACATTGTTTTAGAAACTTCCAAGAAAGGTCATTCTATAAACCTCTTTCCTTAATTTATCCTAATATCTTATTAGACATCCATGTCAGGATTTTATCTCAGGATATTCTGATTAAACTTACCTTCCTGATTCTATCTCTTTGTAGGGGAAAACATTGCTACCTTATTGAATGTTTTCATTGCATACTATGTGGTACTGGAGTTTTATACACACCATGTTATATTTCCAAGTTTATGAGTCAGGGGAATATTTTTATTCTCATTTGTTAGGTAAGGAAAGTAAAGACCAGGAGGTTAAATGACTTCTACGAGGTTCCCAAGGTAGTACATGTTGGAGCTGGGATTTAAATCCAGGTCTGGCTGTACCAAAGTTCATATTCTTAATCATAATACTATATTAGGTCCTATCATACCCTGCACCATTCTTTGTTACAACAGGCCTTTTTACTAAGACAAATCTAGTGCTGTAATTCCCAAGCCATCTCAAATCCACATTAAAAGACCACTGCTGATCTTTCACAATAGTGCCCCTGCTCACTCAGACTCACCAGTCCATAAGGTGGAGAAATGAAGCCTCATTTCTCTTATTCACCCATAAGGGAATGAAACTTCCAGTCTGGACAAACTCATACCCTCTGCCTGCCATGGAACCTGCTACAAATTGTTTAGCAAATTTCTCACTGGCGCATGATTTCATCTTTAATACCATTTCGCATCAACTCAGAACAAACAATGG